GTGGATCCGGTGCCGTTCCCGGTTGTGGATCCGGTGCCGTTCCCGGTTGTGGATCCGGCGCCGTTCCTGGTTGTGGATCCGGTGGATCCGGCCCCATTCCCGGTTGTGGATCCGGTGGATCCGGCCCCGTTCCCGGTTGTGGATCCGGCCCCATTCCCGGTTGTGGATCCGGTGGATCCGGTGCCGTTCCCAGTTGTGGATCCGGTGGATCCGGCCCCGTTCCCGGTTGTGGATCCGGCCCCATTCCCGGTTGTGGATCCGGTGCCATTCCCAGTTGTGGATCCGGCGCCGTTCCCGTTGCAGAGGGCGGAGGATTTCGGCCCCGTGGAGGTGATTTCCCACTGGCACCCCAACCTGACCATCAACATGGTGGACGATCACACGCCCTGGGTGAAGGGCAGCGTCCCCCCGCCCCTGGACCAGTGTGAGCACCGGGAATGCCGGGAGAATCCCAAAATTCCTCGGCCCGGGGGGATCGGGAGGGTCCCTGGGAGCTGGGAGGGACTCCCAGGGGGATTTTGGGGTCACAACTGGGGGGGACACGCCCAAAACTGGGGCAGGGGGGTCAGAACTGGGAGGGGGAGGACCCCTGGAGCAGTGGGAGCACCGGGAATGCCGGGAGCATCCCAAAACTTTCTGTCCTGGGATGCTCCTGCAGGGAACAGGGGGAGGGTCCCCGGGAGCTGGGAGGGTCTCCCAGGGGGATTTTGGGGTCACAACTTGAGGGGGGACCCAAAACTGGGGCAGGAGAGTCAGAACTGGGAGGGGGAGGACCCCTGGAGCAGTGGGAGCACCGGGAATGCCAGGAACTCAGAGCTGGGGTTGGGAGGGACACAATGGAGAGAGAGACCCCAAAACTGGGGATGGAGGAGACACAGTGGAGAGAGAGACCCCAAAATTGTGGGGTCCCAGAACTTGGGGGTCCCTCAAAACTGGTTCGAGGGAGACACAATGGAGAGAGAGACCCCAAAACTGGGGATGGAGGAGACACAATGGAGAGAAGGAGACCCCAAAATTAAGGATGGAGGAAACACAATGGAGAGAGAGACCCCAAAATTGGGGATGGAGGAGACACAATGGAGAGAGAGAGACCCCAAAATTAAGGATGGAGGAGCCCCCCCAGCCCCGGGGGTCCCTCTGACCCCCCCTTTCCGCCCCCAGACGTGAAGTTCGACGCTCTGAGCGGGGACTATTTCCCCATCCTGTACTTCAACGACTACTGGAACCTGCAGAAGGATTATTTCCCCATCAACGAGAGCCTGCAGCGCCTGCCCTTCCGTCTGTCCTTCTGCCCCCTGTCCCTGTGGCGCTGGCAGCTCTACGCCGCCCAGAGCTCCAAGTCCCCCTGGAATTTTTTGGGAGAGGACCTGTACGAGCAGTCGGACGAGGAGCAGGACTCGGTCAAGGTCAGGGAGAGGGGAGGGGGGTCTGACCCCGGGGAGTGGTTTTGGGGCGGAGGGAGGGGGGTGGTGTCCTTTGGGGTGGAGGGGATGAGCTCTGGGATCTCCTCTGGGGTGTTTGGGGTGGAAGGGATGATCTTTGGGATCTTCTCTGGGGTGTTTGGGGTGGAGGGGACGAGCTCTGGGATTTCGTTTGGGGTGTTTGGGATGGAGGGGATGAGCTCTGGGATCTCCTTTGGGGTGTTTGGGGTGAAGGGGACGAGCTCTGGGATCTCCTTTGGGGTGGAGGGGATGGGGATGAGCTCCTTTGGGGTGTTTGGGGTGGAGGGGATGAACTGGGATCTCCTCTGGGGTGTTTGGGGTGGAAGGGATGATGTCCATGGAGTTTTTGGGAAGGAGCTGATGATCTCCATGGAGTATTTTTGGGATAAAGGGGATGGTCTCCTTCGGGGTGTTTGGGATGGAGGGGACGAGCTCTGGGGTCTCCTTTGGGGTGTTTGGGGTGGAGGGGATGAGCTCTGGGATCTCCTCTGGGGTGTTTGGGGTGGAGAGGATGATCTCCAGGATCTCCTTGGAGTCTTTGGGAAGGGGATGATCTCTGTGGAGTCTTTGGGATGGAGCTGATGATTTCCTTGGAGTATTTTTGGGATGGAGCTGATGATCTCCATGATCTCCCTGGAGTATTTTTGGGATGGAGATGACGATCTCCATGATCTCCCTGGAG